AAAAGTTCCTTTTGAATACATTTACATGGAGAAAAGCAGCATTGCATCCACTCTGTTGCCGACTTCAGTATTTAAAGGATTGGTTTGTGGATTTGAATGTCTGTTTAGAAACAATACTGAGCTCCTCATTTGGAGACTGAAAACAGCTTTTCTTTGTTTCTATTGTTTCGTCTTTTCAAATTGACCATTAGAAGATCATTTAAGCACATTCAGAGTAAGTGACAAAGAACAAAAGCCTCTTGATTTAGTCTCACCCTGACTGCTGAAACCTCATTAGCTTCACATAAACCTCCGAGTAGGTTTTGCACAAAATGAGGTCTGTGGATTTCATTTCCTGCCACTTCCTTTTGAAAGCACATCAGGAGGGAGGAAGTGATTCACGCTCAGTTTGATCAGTAAGAAGGATCACAGGATATGTAAATAGCACAGGTAATGGCCAATGATGTTGAGCAACTGCTGGTGCTTACTCCCTTTAAACCATCCAAGACTGGAAACAACACAGAAAAAAAGGCAACAAATCCAACGAAATGTATGAGAGGAACAACTTTTTTTTTCATTTTTTTTTTTTTTTAAATTCAAGACAGTTTCCCAGTGTTTACCTGCCAGCAGGTTATCCTCCAGCAGCAGCAGCATGTCTGTTTACACATGTGCACATGAGAGACTCTGGAGATTTCAGCCATCTGTGCATGTTTGTGTGTTTCCTGCGTCTCTGCATGATCCACACCTGGTATGGACCCCCTACCCCTCCCCAATAACGCACAGTCTTATTGTAATGATGCACCTGCATGGACACACGTACCCCCCCCCGCCCCCCACACACACATGAAGTATCTTTTCCATCCTCTGATGACATCAAACAGTCGGTAGAATGTCGTCTTTTAACCCAAAGTTGGTGGTTTGTCCTCAGGTGCTGCTAGACCACATGCTGATGTGTCCCTGCGCCCAGACACTTGACCCCAAGATGTCCCAGCCAGATGTGCTAGTAGGCAGGGAATGCGAGTAAAAACGATGTGAGTGGATCTGCACATTTCAGTGAATGGACTGTGGTGTAAAAGCACAGTCGTTAGGTCTTCCTGTCCATCTGTCCCGCCATCAGACTGTACATCAACCCATCCATCTACCTCTGTATCATTTTTCATTTTAGCATTTTACCAACCATGTGCTACTATTGGCTGGTCTAGCTGACATGTGTGTCTGCCAACATGCTATGTCTCCTCTCTCATTTAAAGTCTTTTTTTCTATAGTCCAGTCCACAGACCATGAAAATCACCTGCAGTTTTTTTGAAACCATTTTATTAGCAAACTGTTCATGCAGATACTGTTTGTCAGACTGGACAGCTAATCCATGTGATCACATACGTCCTCGGCTGCACAGATTGCCCACATTAAAAGCAGAATCTTTCTAATTTCTTCAAACAAGAAATAATTTCCTTTGTTGAATATTTTTCTTGACTGAATTCATACCAGTTGAGTAATTAGTAAATGGAGAATAAATGCAATTTATATTGAAATCATTTCCCCACACTGCCACAGAGCTGCTTGCTAGCTGGCTAGTTCGCCTTAATGCCAAAGATAAAACTCATTAAATAAAAAATAACTTTGGTGTTCTTTTGGAGTTTCGGGCTTCACTTGTAGGCCTTCATTGTATTGTCTATGATCATCCAAGCACCCATTGATCTATCTGTAGGAGCTTAAGCTTTACACCAAGTCACCAGCCAATTACAGGACGGACCAACTCAACTCCAAATCTTCATTCATTCACACAGTGGTTTTTTGAGTCTTTAAAATATTTACTGTCATTAGAGCCAAAGTGAAAATCAGCCAATCAGAGACCAACCTCACACAATCAAAACAAGGCATGGCTGCCCAAATATGCCCCCTACTGGAGGATGATAATGGATGAGGACTCAATTTTTAAAAATGTTTTAGCAAGAAAACCCCACAGAAAACCCACATTAAAAAAACTACACCATTCTTAAATAAATGACTATAAAATAAACTCAACATGCCGAATGTTGAGGGCCAGACTCAACAGCTGATATGAATCCTACAACCAGATGGTTTTAGTATTTTTTAACAACCTAATGAGTTCTTGCTGCATATGCTCAAAATGTTTTGCCGTTTTAAACTGAACATGTGTTAGAAACGAAAAAAATTAATTCAGTTTCATAAATAAGTTTCTGTTCATTTTATTAACTATGTATCATGTTTGATTTTCCTATTTCTGAATCTCTATGAATCAATTCTCTTTTTCATTTTTATGTATTGTATCTTGCAGATGAAGTTTTTTTTATATCTTCCAGGTGAGTGACTTGAATTTAAGTTATTTTTCCTTGTAGTTTTTCTAAAATTGACATCTCAGTGCAAAAAGGGGAAATTTACTTTGAAACAAATCAATACGTGATGGAAATCAAGTGCCCACATGAAATGATATATCCAAATATAACTTGCAGCCTCAGGCATTTATTCTTAAAGCAATGTCTTCCAATCTGGGGGATGGAGACCCTTAAGGGAAAAGAGATTTATCTGATGGCAAATGAAATGATCAATAAAACAGGAGGAAGTTGTTTTCACAATAAAAAACAGAAGTGTTTACCTTTTTTAAGAACACTGAAAGCACAATTCACGACAATGTGGTTGAGAAATGTTCTAATACAGTATATTGTAATTTAAATATAAATTAAATTTTTGATTTAATGAACTGTAGTGTAGCGACTTTGGCACTCCTAAATTTTAATCATTTTTGTCAAATTTGATAAAAATGTGAAGTTGTACTTTAGCCTGATTTAATTGTTGACATATTGAAGATGATTTTGTTTCTGTTTAAGCTAACACTACAATCCTATAAATATTAGAAATGCTACAACATTCTTTCAGCACTACCAGTTATTTTTTAGCTTGGCATCACAAATCCAACAATTTTATAGATTTTGTGAAATTCTAATTGATACAAATGTCACCCGAACTGCCAAATGTGAATAAAGTGAACCCAAAATTAACATACCATTATTTCTGTTGATATTGGAAAGCACTATTCCAAATCATGGAATTGTAATGGTACCATGACAGCTTACAGTTCATTACCCAGAGCCCATTTCTTTGTACTCAGATAAACCCCTGCTGCTGGATTCCAGTCATGCTTCTTCATTGATTCTGCTCTGCTCTTATTGCAGTGTTAAATTGACTATGAATGGATGACATAGTGCTATCTGGAAAAGGCCAGGGGTCAAACCTTCGGGATCCTAAACAGCCTGGAGCAGATGCTGCTCTGACCCGACGACCTTGTTGAAACGGTCCTCGGAGGACGGCGCAAAAGAAGAACAAAGGGAGGAAAAAAAAGGAGGCTCTAATGCACGCCTGACTATAGAAAAACCGCACACCTGAACACATCACCGCCACAAACGCAGTGGCATTGAAACATTTGAAAAAAGGTGAATAGTTTTCTTACAGATTTGGCCTTCAATCAACACCAAGCCAGATGATTCCACCCCCGAGGTTTTTCAAAAATGCTATTCACTGTGAAATAAAAAAAAAATGTTGGCCTTGCTTTTCAATGAGACAGAGATAAAAAAGAGCCTTTTCAATAATGTTGTAAAGCTGCAAACCTTCACATCAACACATTCACTGCCGATCATAACAAAGACAACACAAACACAAAACATGCACCGCTAGAATAAGAGGCAAGACCTGCATCAAAGCCTTCACTCTGCTGTGCCGCCTCGCACTGATCTTTGTCTTGGAACAATACTGTGTACTGAGGCTGGACGTGGAAAATTATTGCAGAATATTAAGATATTGAGAAAAATTAATTAGATTTGCATGTTTATTATATATAAATAGACTTATTTGATTCTTAAAAAATATGCATCTTTTATACTGCCCCACTCTCTATAGTATGACAGTTTTGTAATAGGTTACTTCCATTTTCAGGATGGTTAAATCAAATTTAATAATATCCTCAGGCAAACCCTAATGTATAATTTCTCCTTTTACTTAATTATACTATTTTTGGGGAACCCTAGAGTCATTGCCTTGCTCAACATCTCACTAGCAATGTTTTAGCTCTAACAATAGGCCTTTTGCTAACTTCTAGCCTTTCTGTTTAGGTTTTCCAATATCAATTTTATAAGGTGATTTGTTGGTTAAGGTTTGCTGCTTTTGTACAGTTTTCTAACTCAGTTGTTGCAAATTTGGTAACCTACAATATAATGTTAATATAATTTAGTTTTTAGCCATTAGCAATCTGCTAACATTTTCACCCAATTACAAGTCCTTCCAACGTGTTGGCTAACATGTCTTGCTGGCTAACTTGTATGTTTTCACTGAATTACTATATCTATGCATCTTCTCTGTTAACATTCACATTTTGTATTTGTAAGCATGCCTTTATAACAAAACAAACCCTTTCTTGTGCCATCTTACTAAAATGCACATGAAAGCTTTATTTTGTAAAAATCTGTTCCAAACTGGAAGGGTTGGATTTTATTACATTACCAGTCGAGCACTAACACAATTCAATAAAATGCAGTGCATTTGTATAAAACTTAATTAAATTTCAGGAAGAGCAGATGGTCCTCAGGTATTTTTACATAACTGAATCTTGTCTTTGTTAAAAAGTTTATAGTTTAGACTCCCCTCATATAAAGGATGACAGACCAAACATTTCTATCTGGATTTGTCCATAAACCAAATATAGAGTAATAGACGAGGAAGATTAAACAAAACAAAGCATTTCTCCATTTCCTCTCATGGTGCCTGAGAGACATCTTTAAAATCAGCATCTCACACAAGTCACTAACAATAACATTTCCTTTAAAATGACACATGTTATTTGCCATGCAGGAAAATGCTAAATGAATACAAATTAATTTAATATGAACTATTTGACAGGTATGTTTTAACTACAGTGTTTCAAGGTCAAAACAGCCAGGAAAATGTGCAGTGAAGTACATTAGCTTATTTGAATCAAAAACAGAGGAACAGAAAGTTACAGCACTTACCTCCTGAAGTGAACAGATTGAGTGTAAGAGGTAACAACAGTTCATTCTTAGCACCAACCAACTACAACACTAAGTCAGCTTAGCAAAAAAAGAAAGAAAGAAAGGTGGCTGTTTGTGACAAGAACAAGTAAAACAACTCTTCCTCTTCCTGTTGTCAGCGGCCATCTTGAATCCTGTTGACTTGAATGGCAGCTGCCATGGAGGTGACAACTTCCTGTTCACTTCCTGTTTGTCAGTAATAATAATAGAATAATATCAAAAACAGTAATACTACTAATAAAATCATATAATAATAACATAAATATCATTATTACACACAATAACAATTTTAAATAATAATAATAATTATTATTAATAATATTATTAATTTGTCTTGAATCCTGTTGACTTGAATGGCAGCTGCCATGGGGGTGACAACTTCCTGTTCACTTCCTGTTTGTAAGTAATAATAATAGAATAATATCAAAAACAGTAACACTACTAATACAATCATATAATAATAACAAAAACATGATATTATTATTATTATTATTATTATTATGAATTGGTCATTATTTAGTAAAGGACAAACATTAGTGGCGCTTTGGCCCAGAGGCAATGTCTCTGTAATTGGTGTGAAACCCCAGGGTTCACTTCCTGGGCAAGATCGGCGACTTCTGCCCCTGCGACCGGGTAATGGATAAGCGGGCGAAAATAGATGGATGGATGGATGTATGGACAAACTCATCCTTGCAATTACCTACATACATAAGTGGACTTTTGGCTCTTTAAACACAAAATTCTCAGGCAGACCCCGTATTTCATGTTTTTATTTTTTCATGGAAACACTCAATATTTATTTATATTTATTTATATTATTTATTTATATTCTATCGTTCTGTTTATCATCCCTTACAATTCCTCATACATACATCATACTGTAGCTGATGGAAAATGTTTAGTGTTTAGCTTAAACATTTGCTGCTGTATGTTTGTATTTGCTGGTGCTGTAATCCAGACAGTGGGAAGTATTATAAATAATCATTATAGTTTTACTGAAACAACAGACCTAATGATGGCCATTGACTTCCAGCTCGTGCTGCACAGTGTGGTAGAACTCAAGGTGCTAAAGATGGTATGAACACTGTTTCATTTATAAACTGTGCTTTCACACACAGCCACATTAGTGTCAGCAGTGCACATACTGTATGGCTACAGGCCTCAGTGTAGTGCCTCGTATCTGCACCAGAGTACGTGTTCATCTCTGATACCAGCGACTGCACCACTGATTAAAACCATAAGACTGATACACAGCTTCATGTTGGCTTTAAACATCATCAGCACTGAGAGACACAGACTCAGAACTCAGAACAAGGTTAGAGAGCTGCAGGAGTATCAGAGTGGAAATCATATACACACACACACACATGCATCTGACATCTGCAGGCAACTGGTGCCATGGCAGCTAGCAGCTAATTGGATCATTGTCTGGAAAGGAGAGAGCAGTAGTGAGGGATGAAGGAAGAAAAAAAGGAAAGAGAGAGGAAAGCTGGCAGAGGAGAGCAAACAAGAGATTAATGAGACCAACCGCTCTCACAAGACTGCTGTGCAAGGTGACACTCTCCAGGGAAAAGTGCTGCAGATTTATGTTTTCAGTCCTTTATGCAAAAAAAAATATTTCTATGTAAAAACCATAAACTGCACCTGAGTGTACGTGCGTTGGTGTGTTCGTTAGCGCACGCAAGTGTGTGTGTGCACGGGCAGGTCGATTCGTAGCTCAATATAATATGTGATCTTTCATCACTCAGCCTGGTATGGCCTCAGAGCCTCAATAAAATAAAATACACTGATGTTTAAAGATGGATGACTGCAATATTTAAATTTCATGGAATAGTACACAAATTCATAATTTATAGATCCGCTCATCAGTTAACCCATGGGACATCACGTATGAGAGTGGTTTCTGGCAATGATGACATAAAGAAAATAATTTATATTTCTGCAGCTCTGGGAAGACTTTCTACCTCGTTTTTATGTCACATAAAATGTTTAATTCTCTCCCATCATCCCTCGGTGGGTTGGATTGATGCACATCTCTGTGCTGGAATGCATCTTCACTGATGTTCCCAGGTTATTGGGCGTTCTGGGTCAAATCTTGTGCCTTCCTCACATGGCCCTGCCAAATATTGGTTTACATTCCTGCAGCAAAAAAGCTCAGAGTGAGTGAAAGAATTCCCCAAGGTTTAACACATAGATCTATTGTTCAAGGTCACTGCGCACAGTCAATACCAAAAAAATGGAAAACATTTCATCCAATATGAAGTTGTTGTGCTCGTCCAAGCTGTGTGCACTGCAGACTGGCTATAGCAAAGCCAAATTATTGGGCAGAGTGTTACAGTTTGGGTTTTTGCAGTCTGCTCAAAATAACATTATAGGTGCTATGCAAAATAAACAAACATATATTTACAATTCAGCAATGACTTTATAATATTAATATATTATTATTATAATATTATATTAAATTATTATAATATACAGTGCATTATATATTATAATATTATAGTTCAACTATGAAGGAGTATGCTCAGATATTTTACAATCAACCATGTGCAGCTGTTGCTGCTGCTGGGAGAATAAGTATATCAGGACTGCTGCAATCAGAGGTTTGGACATAACTCACAATAAGAACAATTTTCAGGCCAAACACAATAAAGATATGGAGTAGCTCAGAGTCATTTTGCTTTTTTGCTGAGCCACAGTAATGTCCAGTCCTAAAACCAAAACTGACAGACATTGGACTGAAGCAGTATGGGTTAGAACCAGAATCACAAGTGTTATGTGATATATGTCATTTAATTTATTTACTGACTATTTATGTTCATGTTGCATTGCACTTTGAGTCAGTTATCAGGCAGAAAAACACCTTTATTTTGTTTTTAAAACAACCCAGACAAGCAGTTCATCTTAGTCTTAAGCGCACCAGGTATTTACTGTATATTATATTTTCAACAACAGCACTTTGCATCAAGTGTTTGATTTCTCCGCTCCTGTGTGCCTTTCCTCTGTATTCCTCCAGGTGAACTTAGCACTGTTTAAATCTTGCAGAGAGCACCCCAAGAAGCCCAGGCAGCCCATCTCATGGCATCAAAGTGAAAATCCAACTGAGAACACAGTCTCTGCACTACCACATTTGTTACTACTCCAGCCAAGGGCAAAGGCAAAGTCGAGTCAAAAGACAAAAGAGATCAGATCTGATCCACACACTTCTAGAAGTTCATATTCACACATAAAAAATGAAGGTGGAGATGATCTGGGTATTTTTTTTTTTTTTTACAACAGCATGAATATCTAGCACATCCAGGTGAGGGGTGACGCACGTTTCTTTCTTTTTTCTTTTTTTCCCCTCTTTGCTCTATTCTCATGTGAACTCATATGAACAATTTTATGGGAAGGTAAAAGGCAGAGAGGAGAGGTTCCAGAAAATGTCCACAACGAAATTTGTAGAAAAATGTGTGAACTTCGTCATGCAAGGGAACGTGGCTAAACTTAGCAAGTAGCTGTGAAAGAAACCAGAACATTTCATTTCAAAGAAAGCTTTCTTGTTAGAGGGTTGGCAGAGAGATTTTATCATTTGAATCATGGCAGTTCGAGTTAAGAAGGAAGATTTTCATTGATCTTTTAGTGAATAAAAGCACTGCCAAAAAATAAAGGGCTAATCTTTAAAACGTGGAAACAAACTTTTCCCTAATGGTTTAAACAAGCCTCGGTGTGTTTATCTTCATGCCTTGTGTGCACGTGTGTGTGTGTGTGTATATTTCCTGTGTGTATGTTTTACTGGAAGCTGTAGCCGAGGGAAGAATGACTCACACGGACAGTCTAGTGAGACAATGACGATGGCTGCAGGGTATCATTCTGCATGAGTGTGTGTGTGTGTGAGAGAGAGAGAGAGAGAGAGTGCGTGTCTGTGCGCGCGCGTGTGTGTTACAGTGCTGATTGAGGGAATGTCACAGTGCAATGAGAAGGAACCAGGCCAACTGCCACCAGAGCGCTGGCGGTCAATTTGGACGGACTGTCACAGTGACTCGCCTCATTTCTGCGTCGTCTCCTTCCCCCTGTTGCTCTCTGAGCACCAACGTCAAACTGTTTGGAGGATCAGTGTGTTCCTGTGTGTACGTGTGTGTGTTCGCAAGTGTGTGTTCGCTGGCCTATAGCTGACACCAGTATCGCCTTATAGCCAGATGGTAATGATGCCCCACTGGCCTCCATTTGGAACAAAAAACACTGACACGTTGTGAGTGGGAGTGAAAAAGCGATGAGCGGTGACAGGACCTAAAGCTTCTGCTGCCACCGCTGGACACAACAAGGATTAGCTCAAATACACACGCACGCACACACGCACACAGTTTTATCCTCAGTGCTTAGCTCTATTTATTGATGTATTTTAAAAACAGTGACAGAGTCTGCTGTAGTTGGGTGGATTCACATGTACACAAACCATAGCACCATAGTAGCAAACCTTAGTACCTCATAGTGGCCAGTAGTGACACATGTTTTTACAATGAGGCAGTGCCAGTTATTCTGGTCCCAGAACTGTTCAAAAATACTTCATATCTTAGCCACACATACATAGTGAATATATTGTAGAATGAGGGAGGATTTTCGGTTTCTCAGTTAATTTAGAATGATTTAAATTTTGTTTATATATTTTAACAGTGATTTACACAGGATTAAGGTGCTTGTTCAACCTTCAACCACTAGGCTTCTCCCACCTCCCAGGTTTAGTCCCAAAATTTTAACCTATTGAGTAATAACACATAAAGGTTGACAAAAACTATATTTGAATTTATTTTTTAATGAGTTAGATTTTTAGAAGTCAGCAGAAGCCACAGCATTAGCTAATTAGCGTGATTTACCAATGTTTGCTAAATGTACAGCACAATGGGCTACAATTGCTTATAAAGCACTATTAATTATAAGGAGAAAAACCCAAAACAATGTACTTTTGACTGAAATATGTTGGTACTCTTTACCATTTTATTTTATTAGCCTCATTGGATATTATGCACAAGCTATGCACATGTCATTGTTCATTCTACAAGTCAGTGGGCATCCCTTCAGGCTCTGGTGTTATTTGGGGAAGGCTACTAGGTTGTCTAATTCCTGGAGTGTATCCAAACTGTTATCATGTGCTA